CAAGTCCAATCCTAGTTCACTTTATAACAAAAACAAGTCAATCAGTTTCTATTCATTGCAGTCCGAGTACTTTCTAGGAGAGTCCGAAAAAACACGTTAAGATTAAAGCAACTTAGACGCAACAAGCTGGTTAAAAATTAGCTGTCTCGCGACCGATGATAAGCCGTAAACCGCGGTGCCGAGGCGGGCGGACGGCGAGCCGTATTTGGCGTCAGATTCGTGCGAGAGAAGAGCTCGTACTCGAGTGACCGCGGACCTATGGTACTCGCGGTCAAGCGATAAGATCGTGGGCTCTTAGTACCGCGGGGAGCGTTTATTACGTAAGCAGCCGAAGACACACGGCGTGAGTGAATTAGACCTAACGAAGTGGAACCGACCGGCGGCATTAATTGCTATGACCAAATCGAACGTCTCGTTAGTTTCACGCCTCACAAAGGCGACCCGCATCCAGCCGCGGTTGTCCGGAGTCAGCTCGACCGACCGAAACTCTCCCGGGTTTTTTTTTTCAATCTGCACCCAAGACTCGCTCTACGTCGGGGAAGATTAACATCGTCAGCGTAATCTACTTACGTCAAATGTAATAGTCGATCCCCATTTACGCGTTTATAATATTAATGACACGTTTGTGTGCGGCGTCCTAGATTCGCCGGATGTTCTTCCGGCGCGCCATAGATACGCAATATCGCAAATTAAAAATGTCAATCATCACAGAGCTGTTTAGCGTAGATATTTGAAGAATCGTCAGTAATTGAGTTGCGGCCACAAAGAAGAAAATAGAGGGACAGACTTCGCGCAGGGGAAGTTGACTTCAAATTCCCCGCAAGGTTTGTCAGTAAAAAATAATACGGCGGAAGACACTTCCTGAGGTATCGTCTAATTAATTTCCAGTATTACGTAAAACATCGATGACCGTGCATTACCCACTGATTATATCGTTGATCGCGATTACTGGACACTTCTTCGGCCACAGATTTTTTCTCGCCGACTCATTTAATTCAATTCCCGTGAAAATAATACAATCGGTCATCGCGTTTTACCCCCAAATGCGCTTCACTTCGCCAACAATATTTTGTAACTTTCTTGCGCAAATGTGGCCGGAGATTTCAGCGATCCCCTAGAACTCGGACAAGCAGCGAAATGGGGGAAACGCGCTTTCGACTCGCTCGCTTCCGCCCGCGGTCGTTCGTGCGCAGCTGGAGCCTCTCTCCCTCGCGACTACTACTAACAAAATGCAATTATTTTTAAAAAGGATGTAGGGACGCTCTCGCCACGGTTTCCAGGGGACGGGTCAGACATGTAGGTGCTCTACCACAAGTGGCCTATCGACAATGGGACGATATGAGGCTGGCTGGCACCGTTCTAACGCTTTCGCTACCGCGTACCGCACGCAGCAGCATCCCGATTCGCACAATAAATTAATGATAATGCGACTAGCGCTTATCCAATTCTGTGGAACTCAATTAGTATCTCTGATATCGAGTTACGATATATATCGCAGCTCCGTCACGATGACAAGCGGAAGAAAATAATCCACGAAAGCAAGTCCCTTTCGATTCGCCGAATTCGAGATTCAAGTGGAAATTGTCTCGACATCGGAGTCAAAGGAGCGTCGAATTTGGCGCAGGCGCCAGCGTCCGCGAAAAGTGCATGCTCTTACGCACTCGCGGCTTCTTGCTAATAATTCCGCCAGTTCATTCGCGAATTTTCCCGGGTCCGCTTCGTTTGCACGTCAATTCTATTTCTTCCTTTCTGCGTGTCTCACGGCTGTGCCGCGAATAAAGTACACGAGTGCTCCGTGAAAGGCCTTTTCGTCAAATTTAATTATCGCAAATACGAAAGAAAACAAGAACATGGACGACATCTAGCAATTGCGACAGAGCAGGGCGAAATTTATCGTTTCCCCGAAGAAACCTCTCGGAGTCTGCAATGCCAAGGTCGGGATGGGAACCGACAAGAAGAAGAATAAACCGGAGACACGACTAACGCCGTCGTAGCCTCGAAAGAAACGAGGGAAGAAGATCGCGAGGATCTGCCAACCGTCGCCGATAATCGCCGTCGATGAGATGTATCTTTTATTTTCGCAAAGGTAAGCGCCGTGGAGCGGAGTAAAAAAATAATCTGGATTTTTAATTCAGAACAATTCTTTCGCTAAACAACGGAAAGCGAAGTCATATTAAAATACTGACCGTTGTGTTTTACGCTGCATTTTTGGTTTCGCCCACTTCTACAAATGCATCTAGCGAGAGTGACCTAATTTGCGTGCGAACGTTAATATGCTTGTCGACGATGATTTGCGACTACGCGGACTATATACGAACTGACCACCGATGCGGGACTATAGATCGCGAGAGGCCGGCCCGAACCATAGAAACGTCTGAGAGTTTACTCTCCGGCGAAAGAGTTTATCGTCTCAGGTGGCGAAAATAGATCTCTCTGTTCCTCTCCGGCGCACCGTTGGGAGGAAAAAAGAGGCGCGCTGGGTCCAGCACACGGACACGCGCGGCGTGCGAAATTCACGCCTTTGAGATGGCAAAACACACGTGTCGGTCGTTAAACGGCATCGTAACACAAAGAAAAAGTATAAGGGAAAGAGCGCAAGACAAAACGAACGCGCATGTACGTTTTCAGACGCGGGGGTCGCTTACGTTCCTGACTGCACTCTAATTAAATAATGTACGATCGAATAATCTGCGCTAATCAATCTTCGCCAAAGTAACAAAAGCGTCGCTTAATCGCGACAATTGACCATTTAGGTCACTTTGTACATCGCAAACGCTATATATGAAATAGATTGCACAAAATAATTTCCATGTTGTCGACTGCCTCAAAGTGTCTCCTGAAAATATCGGGACAAATAAATACCTCGTAAATGGCGGAATAGCAAAACGTCAAGACTCTATTTACGGCCCTGATACGACATTCGTATTCGGCGAGAGCTCGGTTTTCCGCAGATGCTGGAACACCGGTGGATGACGAGCAACGAAACCGACGGCAACAGCAGCGGCGACGACGCGACGACGATCGAGGAGATGCTGCAGGATCCAGGATCGGTGATCCTCTTCGTCGACTACCCACCGTGGCTGTTGTGCTTCGCCGCCGCCTGCTGCATCCTCTTCATGCTGGTCGGCATCCCGGGAAATCTTATCACGGTGATCGCATTGTTTCGCACGAAAAAGGTCCGTAACCGTAGCTGTAGTCCTGCACTGAGAAAAATGTTTATCGGCTGAACCATTGAAATACCCAGATAGCACACATAGTTCTATGAATATTCTGCTGGGGTGCAAACATTCGTAATTTCAGAATATTCCAATCGAATATTCTATAAATATATATATATGTATATATATTATTACAATTAGAAATCGTATATTCATAACAAAGAAGAATGTCTTTGGAATATTCGTTCAGAATAACTTTTTAGTATTCATCGAGTTTATGTATCGCACGTTGTTTATTGTGTAATGCACTTATCTTATGCAAAGGCAGTGAGACCAGTGATCATACCATATACAACCGACACGCTATATTCGATAGATTATTCTAATTAAGTTCCTTTTTCTCTAAAAAAAAATTCTTAAGTGCCTGCCAATGCACAAATAATGCATTGTTATTTGTGCAACTCGTTTTGTGCCATTCATGGCAATTTTTCTGACTCGAAAGGACTTAAGTATAATGAATCCGTATTATGCAAGGCTACTCATATTTCCGGCACTGCTTACACACAGAAATCTTAAAAGCTGCCAGAGTGGTTTACCTCGTGTCATTATACCTCTTTAGTCTTTACGAACGTTAATTCTAGTAGTAATGAACTTAAAAACGTCCTTACGCTACGACAATAATCATTAAATGTATAAAATATTTCTTAAATTTAATATGGTCAAACCATAATTTTGTCTCATAAAGATTCTGTACAATTTTTATATTCTACGAGATCGTATACTAATCTTTTTAACACTTTTTGTTTTTGACAAAATAATCGATGATGAACGGAGGTCGTCGGCACGATTTTTTGGCAAAGCCACCCGCCAAAATCGATCATCAATGAGTTAAGTTTGGAATCGATTACGCAGAACCGCGCGTTATATACAATCCTGTGTTTTCACGGCGGTTCACGTACTCCGTTCCGATATAATCGACTAGAATTGAATCGGGAAGTCTCCATCAATTTTATCGTGTTTACACTTTGAGAAATTCGAGAGAATTTATGCAAAGACCTTGCAAATTAATTTTCACGTTAACGATTTCTTCCCACCCACACGTCCAATGTGCTATAATCATAATCACCACTAACATTTATATATAATTTATAAATATAATCCGAGTAACATATTAAATCTTGATAACCACAATTCTAGTAAAAACACACTTATTAATATAATTACTTGTGTGTGTGTGTATTTTTTTATTAATAGACTACGTATATTAAAGAATAACTGCAAGGAAATAATTTTGTATATAATTTTACCTTTATTTTTCTATAATTATAGCTGAAGAACGCCACCGCAGTCTTCATCATGAATCTGTCGATATCAGACTTGATGTTCTGCTGTTTCAATCTACCGCTCGCAACTTCAACCTTCTGGCACAGGTCGTGGCTGCACGGACCACTTCTGTGTCGGCTGTTTCCGCTCTTGAGGTACGGCCTCGTTGCAGTTAGCCTCTTCAGCGTTCTCGCGATCACAATCAATCGCTACGTCATGATCGGTCATCCCGGTCTCTATCCTACGTAAGTATCCCACTCCTCTCTCTCCTCTATCAAATATTTCATTATTTTACGCGTCTACTAAATCGGTAATAAATAATTATTGTACGTAGGAGTCAGCGAAATAGATAAGTAAAGTAATTGAAATAACAATTCAATAAAAAAAGATTTTGCAACGTTTAAAGGCAATTTTTTCGCAAGTCAAACCTCGAGCAGAAACTTTTTTGATTTACATTTTTTACTTCCTATATGAGGAATTGTCTTGTATTACGAATTGCTTGCTGAATGTCACTTAAAGGTTGTATAAAACGAAATACTTAATACCGATGGTTCTGGCGATATGGATCATCGCTTTCGGCTTGCTGATCGTCACGTGGGTCGAGCGATTCGGACGTTTCGGATTGGATCCCGCTGTGGGATCTTGCTCGATCCTGCCGGATACAAACGGGCGGAGCCCAAAGGAGTTTCTCTTCGTTCTCGCATTTCTAGTGCCCTGCCTCGCTATTATCATTTGCTACGCCAGGATCTTCTACATCGTACGCGCAACTGCTTCGAAGAGCAGAGGCAGACACAAGATCTTCAACATCGAGCCTACTGAAACCAGCCATGACGTAAGATCTATTTATTTCTACAAAAGAAGACGAAGAAGCTTTAAGATTAACACAAACAAAAAGAAATCGCAGAAAATACATATTTTAAACAAGAAAAATTATTACTTTTGTTTCTGTACGTTTGAATAAAATATGATATGTGCTTCACAATAGATATTTGAATATTAACGAGAAAAATTTGCGTATTTTACACAAATTAAAGTAAATAAAACATTAGTAATTATACATAATAAAAATGAAAGCAATGAAATGATTAATAGAAAAATTCTATTGAAGCAAACGTCATATTTTTAATTCTTCTTTTTCTTCTTCGTGCATTAGACTTAAAGCCTGTTTTATCCAGTTCGTTCTGGTGCTTTGAGCATCTGGTCTTACTTCACCTTCGGCGGGCGGCTAGCCTTGCCGAAGGAAACCTCCCATCTGGAGACAAGATACTCTCGGTGGTTGCCACTTCCTTTCGGGAGATTCTGAAAAAAAACAGCGATTTATTAGAATAGCTTTAATTAATTTACTGTAATATAATTATAATCTTCGCAATCGTATTATTTGAAACCCAGCTTGCCATTTTTGGTAATTGTTACAGCAACCATCCACCACGAGAAACCAGGAGCAAGAGCTTACTGTCCTCTGCGCTCCTTCCTCATTGATGCAGGCGGTGCTTTTCAATTCAGACGAAAGGACGGATCGCGAGCTACCATCCACGTCGATCAACGAAAACTCGTGGTCTAAGCGGTCGACGCGCAATCGACAAGAAGCGGATCGCGCGGCAAATACTGACGATTCGACAACGAATATCAGCTCCAATGCAAACTCCAACGGCAGTTACGACGCTTCTCGCGCCAGCCTGTTAGAGGACACGTTGCTCGTGGATGATCGCGAGATCGAAAAATTGGACTCCATAGAGACGAGATTGTTTCAGAGCCGGGACCAGCGCGAGCCGCGGCGGAAGTCGTCGGGGAGCCCTTGCGGTCGGTTGGAGATGCTGACCGGTCGAGCGTCCTTCGTGGCCGAGTCCTCGCTGCAAAGGATCGCCAGTGGCGAACGCTCGGATCGGCCGGATTCGAGACCCGAGCGGCCTTGCGCGAGGAAGGTATTTCGCAGGCAATCGAAGTTCAGGAGCGTCGGCGGGACGCGCGTCCTAGGCGGCGAATGCGTCGCGCCTAGGATGTCCGTCAAGGATAAAAAGCTGCTGCAGATGATCCTCGTGATATTCGCATCGTTTCTGGTGTGTTACCTGCCGATCACCGTCACGAAGCTCTTTCAAAACACGGTCGACTGGCGGGGACTCAATATCGCCGGCTATATTCTCATTTATTTGACGACCTGCATCAATCCTGTTATCTACGTCGTGATGAGCTCCGAATACAGGAGTGCGTACAAACATGTGTTGCTGTGTAAAAGGTAAACGGACGACAAATAGGAGACTGCCGGGCCTGTTCACACCTGGACGTTTTAATAAGTAATTACGAGGGTAGTAATGAATAGTCCGCAATGAACATTCGTTACTTAGTGTATTTGTATGATTTAAGAATTTTCGCCACCGCTTTCTCTTTCGTGAGATAATATCGTCCTCGGGGATCGATGGTACTCAAGTTAAAGCTGTTGATTTTAATTGTTGAAAAATACGCGCAGTTTTCTAGTCTCTTCGGGTAGATTAAAAACGATTTCATTTATTTCAACAAAATTAGATTATACATTGGAAAATTTATACTTCTTCGATGGCATTCGCCACTTTTACTTGCTTTACGTGTAGTCGGACGATGGTAATTATTACTAGTTTTTTTTTATATCTAATCTATTAGAAGATAATCAAAATCTCTAAATCTAAATCTCTCTTCGTTAAGAGTATCCGTAACTTCGTGCAGACCTTCCGTCGACGATCCTTAGTCTTCTGAATCTTTGAAAATCGCTATTAAAAACCAAGGCCCGGCGTTAAAACGCGTTTTATATATTCTCGTGAGAGTTTACTTGTAAAAATTCTTGAATATCTCGCACGATCGATATTTCGATCGCAAGTCGCGAAGACTAAGGACCGCCGATTCGTACTGTACATCACAAGTGCATTAGAAAATGAAAGCTTTTTGTAGCATTCTTACGACGAGGTAATTAAGTAATTAAATTTTAAGTATGTTACACACGAGGCATTGAGACTTATCTATATCCTGTATCCTTATCTATACACACGCGAGTTTGATTTTTAAAGAAAAATAGATTGATCTATCGTTCGGTAGACCGCTGGATTGAAATATCAGTTCCAGATGCATTATGTTTACGACATATAGTTTCAGCCCCTTCAGCCCGTTTGATCGCTTAACGCCGAAATCCCTTTTTCCTACCACGAAAGAAGGGGCGGTTCGTTAATCTTGTCCTTTTAAGTACTTTTCGTCATATCGAAGAAAATTATATACATTAAAAATGATTTGAATGAAAGAAGGGAAATCCGGGGCTGAAGGGACAGACTTTCGCGACGTTAAGCCCTGTATTCTGTGAGAAGAGATTTTCGCTCTATAAGCTCTGTAACTCTGTAGCTGCCCAGCTCTTTCCTCTTCTCGCCCTTTCTCCCTTGCCACGCGGTTTATGGAGTTACAGCGTTACAGAGCAGTTTTACAGAATATAGTCCTAATACTGATATTAGCTTTCCGCGTTCAATTCGTATTAACGTTCAATTTCTATCGAGATTAGAAGGCACCGACGCCGCTTGTATCGTGCTGATGTTCATGCCAGGTGGCCAGCTCTTTTCCGGCTTCTCGTCGCCGGCGGTCTTCGGGGTGACCTTAGTGACGTCGAGCTTGCCGCTGTCGCGATTCTTGTAGTGTAAGAAACCGGCCGCGCCGCCCATGCCTATTCCTCCAAGTATCATTACCCACTTCAAAAAGCTAGAAACCAAATTTCAATTTGGAGGAAGGCCGAAGACACAATTAGTATTTATTCACAACAAAACATTGAATCGATTGCGGGGCACGTATAATTATTGTAAGCTGCAGGGCATTGATATTATAGACGACAGATAGCTATCAAATATTGCAATCGTTTAAAACGTCGCCGCAAACACTTACTTGACGACCGCCGTCACTTTGAACACCACCTTCACCTTGTTAACGAACTCGTCGTCGAGAAGTATTCCTTCCTCCACCCAGAACAGAGGCAGCAACGCCTCCGGAAAGGTCTTCATCAGTTTGAACTTCGGTACCGGTTGTATGAACATGTTGAACTGCAGCCGCTTGTGCGCGCGTATCGGCGTGGCCGTCATCGGCTCGAAATCCATGTCGATCTGGTGATCCTCCTGTCGATGGACACAATTTATTCAATCCCCCCCGTTTATTTCTCTCCTTACATTAATTTTTTCACCAATAAGAATGTTCTTCAATGTCGCCAGCGGTAATTAACAGCGTCAGCGTTTTCTTGACCGTATCTGGCACTTTTGATAATGCAGAAAATTTATTGCGAAAAATATGATCTCCGCCAGGGCTTGAACCTGGACCCTCCCTACACTCTAGGCGGGCGTCTCACCAATTCGACATGCCTCAGTTGTCGAGGTAATATTTTTCGCAATAAATTTTCTGTACCTATTATCAAAAATGCCAGATATGGTCAAGAAAACACCGGCGTTATTTATTTTTTGATTGCTCCTTTGCAACTATCTGCGTCCCTCCGCTATCTCGTTGATTTTACCTCATTTGGGTGCAAACCGTCCACCATCTGTAAATATTTCCCGTCTGTATCGTAAAAATGCGGCAGGGATCCAATGATGGGTACGCCCAGACATTTCGTCATGTCGTAGAAATTTCTTGGTAGACAAGTCTCCGGCGTCGGGCAGAAGCACTTTTCCCTAGGATTCGTACTCATGTCTCCCAGATCCGCGGTGTAATGAAGAGTTTTGACGCCTGCGAGTTAAGTTACAGTTACAGATGTAGAGAAAGTAACGAAGTTAAGTTAGAATTACCAAAAAGAAGTAACTGTAACTTCGTTACAAGTAACGAGTTACTTGCCAACCCTGCTTTCAAAGCCTTTCCAATACATGCCTTTGACTTTGCTGTGGAACTTGAAATGCGCGCTGAGGCTTCGGCAGATTTCAAAGCCGAAGGAGACGATGTCATCGTCCGGTCCGAACAGAGGTGGGAAGATCGTCGAGTCGGTACCGTTGAAAGCGTTGCAGTGATCCTCCGGCCAGATGTCCAATGCAGGTTTATGGTCGAATTCCAAGACACGTCCGACGTCCTTGAAATTTCTAACACCGCGCAGAACTTTCATGCGTTCCGGCACGGCGGTGCCGTTTTTCTGTGAAGGTTCAATTTTGCGTAACACACAGCTTCATTACAGAGCAACGTGATGAATTTTTTAAAAATCATTTTCTCATGCTTCTTATGTGCAAATTTTGCGCTCGACGTGACGTCCAGCCCGACGACAATAATTTACTTTTATTTGCGACGAGATTGCAGTCGGACGCTACGTCACAGCTCGCTATTATCTTCATGCGTGACTCGCTTCTTTTTTCAACATGCAATTAGACCGTTAATTTATCTACTTTTCATCATCTCCGAGAAGCCGGAGAACATTAGAATACTGTTATACCACGCGTCAATCAAAATATATCAATCCTTTTTAAAATGCCAAAATATATAATTCCAGAAACAATAAAAAAAATTATTCAAATCACTCGAGGGTGTTTGGAAAATTCTGTTCTTTTTGCCTAAAATAATTGTAGCAATGTAAAAAAGAAGAATACCCTTCGTCAAGAGTCTCCGATTGGAACTTTATATTATACGCAATCCCCGTATTAAATAATAGAGAATTCATTATCCCCTTTCGAATTAAAACCACTCACCCCGCCGAAGAGGGAGAATAGGTAGCGATTTTCACCGTCCGGCACCAAATCCTTCGCTTCCGTCTTCAATACGTTGCACACTGCCGACCCGGCGAAGTCTGTCACAGTGCAATCAACTGGCAGACCGCCGAAAAGTATATCCTTGGCCTTGGCCGTCACGAATATCGAATCCGGTTTGTGGAAGATGCTGTCGACGGCTTTGCCTACGTTATTCGTTCGTTGATCAATTTTACTGAATTTGTGCAAATATTGTAAAACTCAAATAAAAATGAAAATTTCGTTTTCAAAATTACTCGCTGCCCCCGTCAAATTGGAGCTCGGTCGTCGCGCGAGGAAACGTGGCGCGAATATCACGCTCGAGGAAACGGAAACCTTATAAATAATTCGCACCTTCGCCGGAGGTGCACGTACGCTATAGGAAAACGTATCTTACGCTCCACTTTAAACCTTATGACGCGCATTATTATAGTCCGCGTCGACCCTGTGCGATACGGCCGATTCGCGACCGCAATCGATACGCGACATTGAAAGTAAATGATGACATTCGATACTGATAAATCGCATCTACGTACCGACCACCCCGATCGCGGCGGGCTTGTCCAGAAGGGTGGCACCCACCATGCCCAGTATCATGAGGTGGGGATACACCATTATCTCCTCCCCCGTCAATCCGTTGCTCTTCTTGGGGTTGAAAATCCACGTTGACCTCATGCTGTATTCGACCGAGTCCTCGTCCTCCCGATCGACGAGGTCAAACTTCACTTTGTACTCACTGGAGTCGATATTTGGGGGAAACAAGTTTTGAGTGGATAAATTTATGAGAATTAGGTGCGATTTTCGATCAGTGCGGATCGAATCAAGAAAGATCAAGACCGTCAACATGAAATTAGATACGTCAATAGAAACGCGAATTGTGTGAAAACGACTCACTCGTAGAAGAACGGCCCGACTTCTTGCACCTTCGGTTTTTGACCAGCCTTAATTTCATCGGGGTTGGTTATATTGAACATGTAGATCTTGAAGTCCAGTGGTAGCGGGAAGTTCGACCACATGTCACGTATCTCGTTTCCTGGTTTCAGCGCGATTTGCTGTGTACGTAAAATCTTGTCAATTTATGATCACAATAGAATCGTCAAATTAAACAAAAAGGACGAAGCCAATCTTGTGGGACATTTATTTCCTAAAATTGCTGATTTCATTTCGGAAGGCAGTCCACAATGAACCCTGCGACGTGATATCTAGAATTTTGCAATCAAAAACGAATCTGCACCCACGTGGATTCCGCAAATCATAGTCTTGGCGCAATATTATAGTCTTGACGTGAGCATTTATGTTGGCGAATGTTACGGTTAGTTGTAGCTGTGGGAGTAAAATAAATGTTTGTCAGCAGTCACATGCGACCAATTCAGAAAACGCGTTCGTATTACGCAACAATACGGCAAAGAAAATACAATTATTAATTCTGACATATTCGGATCGGAAATGATAAGATGTCACAATTATACACAATATATTGTAGCAATGCATAATTAAATTATAACAAGGGTTCAAGGATTTCGCGACATACGTATACTTTTGCGGCATGACTGGAATGTTTCATGGTAAAGTAATAACTAAGAGATTAGACGTTCACGCAAAATTTCTTAGAATTATGAATGTGAGATTTAAAAATGACAACAGAAAAATCAACACATTATACGAAAGTCAATAATAATTAACACTTAAAAATACGAAAAACGAAGGTGTGAATTTTAAGGAAGCATATCTGAAAATGAATTTCACGAATTAGGCAGAAATAAAATTATTGAATAAGATATAATTTTAAATTCCCCGAAACACGAAAAGAATTGCTTATGTCCCAATCGGAAGTGCTGAAAAGTTTTATTATTTCAATGGTACGCACTGTCTAACAATTCGAAATAATTATGCCTCGCCTCGGAATCACATAAATTACCACAGATTAATATTATTACATTGGCATGCAGTAAATGTTTATAAAATTAACAAATTTATGATATAAGCATGCGTTGCTTTTTAATCGGCTTAAAATATTTTATGCAAGAACGGGAATAAAATTTATTGTTAAAACATTGCTCTCTCACCTTCTTAATCTGCGACCTAATCAGTCCTGGAAACCCGCACCATAGTAAAATACCGAAGACAAACGAAACTCCACCACCAATTCCGAGCTTCTTTATAGATATCATTTTAACGCTCTGCAGAAACGCCAAGTGATATTTAGGTATAAGCACACAAGTGGACCGAAATAGACGTTTGTGTGTTTAAGCGATCATTTGTATAAACTCCAACAATCGAATAACACACAAAATTAGAAATACGTATTTAAGTTACAGGTCTGTTACACGATTATATATTGTTACTTATTTATCGGAATTTAGTATTATTTGCCGGTGATTGATTACGACTTATTGCGCCGCATACAGTTAATTCAGAACATCATCACGTCGTATCTTGGAAAACGTTAATTATCAAAGATGCATCTCCTTCCGGAGCAATCGCGTTTATGAAGAAACAAATTTTTCACGAGCTCTTTTCTCAATTCGCGAAGCTTAACAGTCAACACTAAACCTTATTGTATCCTTCGAGAACGCAGAGCACTTTGTCAAGCGCCCTGCCGAGCGGGAACGCGTACAGCAACTTCGAACGTTTTAAGACCCCGTACGTTCTCCGAAGCTCACGAACGGCGATGTCATACGCGCGTCGCTTAGTGACCATTATTACGTTTGATAATGACGCGCGAGGGTTTGATAATCGCACATACGTCTGCCCTCGTCGATTTTACACCACTCTGATTCGAAAAAGATACCTTTGGCCGCGCACTACACTTGACGAAAAAAAAAAAGATTCAAGATTCCTCCGATTGTAATCTTTAAGATTCCCTTTGTCGGTCGTAAAAAATTTCCTGCGATGTGTAAAAAGTAGATTGCGATGGGATTATAAGAGATCAATGAAAAAGTTAAACGTATTAGCAAAAATAGCATACATATAGAAATATTCGTAAACTTGATGGGAGTAAAATGTGAAACAAAGGATATAAGAATATTCTATAGACATATTCCTTGTTTCATATCTTATTCCATTATTAAATAAAATATTTTTTTTTATTCAGAGAATATCGAATATATGTTAAAAATTTGTAAGTCAACAGCAAAAATAAATTAAAGAATAACTGTTACAATTGAAATATAATTACGATAAAAATCAAGGTGCCTGAGAAAAGTTCTGCGCTGTGAGTGTCTTCGTTCCTCTCTATTTTTATCGTAGTCCAAATAAGCGCATAATCTTTCTTCAATATTTACGTATCAGTATCAACACTATTAGTATTCGATATTCAGTGCAGGCAATCTGGTGCTAAGAGTATTCGTAATATTAGTATCAGAGTTCATCGCACAATTCTCCGTGTCTTTTCCGCGGGCGAGTATCGTTTTGCGTTCGTATTCCTTTCTCGCTGTTAAATCTACGAGGAGGCCGAATCGACTCGTACGAGCGCGCGTAAAAATTTCCGATCAGGATCTTCGATCACTCGTGGTCCTTCGCTCACGCAACGCACAGACTGCTCTCGTCCTTTTATCCACGTTCAAAATTCGCGCTACAGATATCTCAAACTATCAAGAACCGCGAGGTGGAAGCCTCGACCTTCCCGACGTGGTACCGTCTTCGCACCTGTGCGGTCTCCCGTCCGTACTCTTCGCACCACCCTTATCGTCCTCGTCGTCGTCGACGTCGCCGTCGCCGTTGATCGTGCGCGGCTCGTCGCGAACGGACTGCCCGCGCGATAATGACTCCGACGTTTTACAGCAGACCGGCGTCGGCGTACTCCTACTTGCCTCGGCCTCGTCAGGGTCTTCTCGGTTTCTCTACCTAATAGCACGACATCTCCGGTAGTAGAATCGGATGCACCAGCGACAATGCGATCGAAGACGCACAATTTTATTCGCTGACTCGCAAATATATAGCGCTGGTGACCTTCTGAAAGTCTTGAAAATCCGATTAGCCTGACCTACCAAAGTCATCACAATGTCCTTCGCTTCCTGCGGTTAGTCAACTAAATTAAAAAAGTTAACAGTTGTAAGAGTTTCGTTTGTTTTCACATTTACTTAGTTTTCTTCACCCATCAGACGATTGTAAAGTATAACGTCTAATGATTACAAGTATTATCTAAAAAAACATATATGACATCAGCAAGTATCTTAGACCTCTACCTCATTAGTGCTGTACCTTGAAATAACTGTGTAGCAGTAATTACTGCATCGAATCTTTCAGATCATAAAGAACCAAATTTTAATTAAATAAGAAATATCTGAAGCAAGGATACAGTGTATTATATTTTCTGTCTCAAACTGTTTTGCATCTTTCTCCGAAACCTCGCAGAGAAATATTAAAGTCTAGAATTCATTTCGAATTAAATTGCTGTTGAATTATAGTGGAATTATTTAATTATAGGGTAAAAAAAATGTTACTTCGTAACACTCGTTAAAGGATTTCCAAATCTTACAATTAATTGAGCTTAATTAGAGATGATGCTAGAGAAGCTTTTCAGTCGGGCTGGGTCCTGGTAGCGTAATAATAATATTTCTGTGTGAACTTCGTATACTTTTTCCACCCTAATAAATTTTGTTGGAATACTAAATCCATAAAGATAAATTGGAAAAGTAAGTAATCGGAGCAATTCATGATAAATGAAATAAATTTACTGTTCCAATAAAGAGCTCTGTTTTAAGACCGAAGATGAATAATCGTCGTGTAATTTACTGACAATGAATTAATTGAACATAAATTTACACGAAAAATATTAGACTACCGAGATTCGGGTCAATTAAGAATGGCAAATTTTCTAAATTAATTGCAAGATTCGTATTGGTATTGTTCCACTTATCGTTGATTTCCAGATCGTTCAATCTTTTCAAGAATAATAACGAGAGAGATTATTAAGTTATTAATAAATTTACTAAGAATCAAGTGGCATTTAAAACAGGAAACTTCAATGTGATTTCCAGAATTATTAAGGATTATCTATTAAATATAGGTTTTAAGAAATTGCTGTACTACTTAAAACCGTAACAGGAAAAGATAAGCCATTGCAGTTATTGAAATTTTCTATTTTTATTTGGTTTTTAAGTAGGGATCTTCGGTGAACATCATGTCGCGCGATAGAAAAATATAAGCCACATGGTTCTAATAACGAATCTATTATTAATTAAGTGCAATTTACTTATGCCTATTAAGTGTTTCCTATTAAGTGTTATTCACTACAGCATTGCAATAGAAGCTAACAACGTGAGGAGCAGTTTAATATTAATATTAATCACTGTTTGATCGACAAAGTACTCCTAAAGCAATGATGGCGACGACCTTCATAATATGCGTACAGCAAACAACTGTAATTCTTACTTACTTTTGTACATATTTATGTCGATCGTCTGCTGATACGCGTATCATGGACGTCGTTATTATAACCGGCCTGGAAGTGGTGACTAATAGTGACTAATATTAGAATTCAAATGTAACATTATTCTAATGTCTGTTCTAGTGCGCGTCACTTAACAACGCTACTTTTCAGAATAATATTATAATATACAATAAACACATTCAATCAACTAATGCGCGCGCTTGTGTAACACGGATATATTACTTTTATCTAATTCTATTACAATAACTGTGTACGCTACTGGAATAAACTTGGTCGAAATCTTATCAAAATATTAGTAAAGACTTCTTCTAAATTATTATTTTCGATACAATGTGACCGATATTGCGCCTCCAAACCTCTTCAGTAAAATAGAGGAAAGTCCTCTATTATGAGATAGGACTCTAATGTGAGATAGTAAGTTCTCCACGTCCAGATTCAATCGCAAATCTTTTTTCGTAACGCCTACACGATCTACCAATCAATTTTCCATTAAACAGATTTCAATCCAAGGGCAATAAATTCATGGTGGAACCAACAAATGATGTCTACTGATTTAGCGGAAACTCCGCTATCTTATATAAGGAGCCTATCTCATAATAGGGAACTTTCCTGTAGTAATTATTAGTATATTACTCCCTGTTAATCGATTCTTGGTGGTACCAATGCAGCTTGTATAGTACTGACAGTCACCTTCTCTTGCGGTAAGTTGCTCTGCTCCTTATCCGGTACAAGATCTGGTATCGCGGCGTTTTCTGCATCCTTTTCTTTGTAATATCTCACAATGCTGGCGACAATCATGCCCAGACCACCTAGGATCATGAGCCACATCGCTATCCTGCAAAGACAGACAGATCAGACGTCCGCTGCGGTAGATTTGCAAGGACACCCCGTGAAAAACTCTCTCGTAAAATTGCCAGTTACAATGTCGAACGTTAAGGAGCTAAATCGCCGAAACAATAACGAGATAGAAAGCGAGAGACTTGCGAAGAGATCATGGATTAGTACCATTACTCACTTCGCGATTAAGATCTGTGTGTACGCGAGTTTCAGCGGTTTGATGAGGATATTTCCAAGCTCGATGCCATCCTCTACCCAAAATATTGGAAACATCGCTTCCGGGAAGGATTTCATCAAACGAAGTTTGGGGATGGGTCCAACTTGCACGTTGAACTGAATCTTTTTGTACGCTTTTATCGGGGTGCCTGTCATTGGTTCAAAGTTGAACGTCATCCGGTGCTTCTCCTGCAAGTAGCATCTCTCATCACGATGTCCGGTTGACATTATAATTTAATAATTCGTAGTAACTTGCGTGATTTCAAATTACCACGACAATTTTACACTATTTTTTTTTCATTTATTTTACAATTAGAGAAGGTGACACTGTCTCTATGTATTGAAACTCATTTATTATAAACTCCTTATTGTTATTTCTATAAAATTAGTTTTATTGATGTATAATACATCGCCCTTAGTGTCTCTCGCTTTAGAGCTTTATATGCATTTACATAAATGCTTATTAAATTATTTTAAAAAAAAGGAATTCGCGTGTGGATAAAAAAATCATGAAACAAAAAGTGACCGGTATATTTATTATAATAAATAGGGAATTGTTAAACGTACAGGGTCGGGATTTACACCCTCGATCATCTCAAGATATCGTGGATCGGAATCGTAAAAATGAGGTAGACTTATCCTGAATGGCACTCTGCTACAGGGACCTGCGTTGTATATATTCTTAGGCATGCATCCTTCGGACTCGAGACAGAGGCACCTTGTATCCTCATCTTTAGATGGATCGCTCAAATCCGCCGAGTAGTGCAGCGTCTTGAAACCTTGCAAACGTTGCAAAATTATCTAACGAGGTCACCTTACCGAACGATTTTTGTTTCTAAGCGGTTTCTACAGAGTTTCAGAATGTGGAGACGACACCTAAAGTTTTTGGCGGAATTTAAAAAAATATTCATCTGAAAGTATTTTATCAGTTCAGTATTTAAGTGTCACGCACGTCTTCACAATTGAACTTGATGCTTCAACGTAATCTTTGCAAACTTTATCTTTGCTTTACTGATAAATCGAGTTTATATACTAAATTTAAATCTAAATTTCCTATGAGTTACCGTAAGATAGACGAAGCTGCTGATCGATAAAATAATTTATTAATAATTAATTAGTTTCGCGCCGGTCATCAAATTTTGTACTGCAGTCGTGTCTCGCAAAGAAGAATTGGTGAAATTAAGAACGCAAAAAAATGTAATATTTTCTTATGGAAAGCCATGGATACCTTTGACCTTCCCTGGTTCGACGTAGTAAGCGCCGATACTACGACAAAGATCGAGGGAATGTACCCAGACTTCTGTCTCCTTGTTGAGAAACGGTGGGAAGATAGTTCCATCCGTGCCACGAAAATCGTTGCAAGGACTGCCAGACCACATGTCCAGCTTCGTGTCATTTCCTACCGTCACTACACGACCCACGTCTTCGTTATTCTTAATTCCGCGGTACACTCTTATGCGGTTCGATAAGAGGCTCCCATTTGTCTAAGAGGTACAGATAACGTTTTGAAAATGTAAAAGTTATCTATTAAAAAATATACAAATTAGACTCTCGAAATTCTAACAATAAAATGACAATTGGCGACTAAAACGCAGTTATTGCTGCGTAAATTTATCTTGTATCATTCAAGTGTAAACGTCTGTAAAATAGAATTGCTATTCGCTTGAACCTGCCTTACTTTTGGATATTAGCCAGCCGGTGAGTACTGGAAGTACAAGCTAAGTTAAATAAGAGATGTATATGTTAAAAGAAATAGTTATTGTACTGAAAATGACACAAACAGTTGTTGAAACAATTAATTATATGATTGAAGATAAATTCACGCAACAATAACTGCCTATTGTCATTTTACTGTTAAAAATATTACATCTTGTTTAAATTTAATATCTGTATAATAAAAAATAATAATCCCGCCCGGATGAACTTAGTCTCGTTCGGATTTCAGTTAATATGCACATTTCAAATACTAAACATTATTTTATGATTTTAAATAACTTTTGACCACAATAAAATATTAATACGTTTCGTGCAGGCAAAGCAATATATAAAAATATGGTAAATGTGCAGAATTGGCGCTCCAGCAGAGAAGTTCCCTATTAAAATCTTGCACACATGTCTTTTATAGCTTAAGTAGATATTATATATTACCCGAGCAAGATAACCGAATCTATAACGTAAACCTTCCTCTTTGATTAATACGTGTTCCACTTCCTGCATCGCGTTGCACACTGCGGACCCAGCGAAATCTGTTATACCTGTGCAATCGAAAACTATACCGTGAAAGAACAAATCTCTCACGGTAGTTTTGATAAATATCGACTCGGGTTTCTTGAAAATACTGTCCAGCGCTTTGCCTACAGAAATATCAATAATGTATGAGAATGAAGATATATTTTGTATTGTGCAAAACTTTGAGTGAGAGGAAAAGAGAAGAAGAATACAGCATATACAGTATATGTATTTTAAAATAACGACACGTGGATTGGCTTGACAGCAATAAAAAAGCTGTGTTGGACAGTGAAAGTCCTCAGTCTCTAAGATTAGTAGCATTTTCGATTTCCAAAATCAACGAGATTCTCGATTTACAAAACTGACGGGAGACTCGATATTCAAAAGTGATAAAATTGCATGAATTACGTTAATTGAAGCGGACGTTCGCATTTCTTTGGCTGATACAAAAATATGCCGTGTACTTATTCTCGAGCACTTTGTAAATACGTACTAATTACTCCCAACGTGGATGGCCTGTCTCTTTGAACGATCAGAGTTATCGCTATCATGAGAGGATGAAACGTATAGATTTCCGCATTTTCTGGCATGACGCTCCTCTCCTGATTGAAGTGCCAAACTTGTCGCAAACTGTACTCGACCGTGTCGTCTTCCTCTCGATCCACGATGTTTTCCTTGTCTCGATACAAACTGAAACTCACATCGACGTCCGTTAATTCACATTGTATTCCTACATGTTATTTAATAATAACAGTTTTAACTTTTCAAACAGGCAAGTTATATTTATTAAAATTTTTCAAAGTCTTAAACATGTTACATAAAATTTGCGCACACATTTAACGTATGTTATTTTTTCATGGCGAGGGAGAGCCGACACTTGCATGGTTGCTTTTTTTATAACAAGTAATAAATCGCTACGGTAACCATACATTAAATTATAGTATTAGACATATATAAAAGAGAGATTACTTACTCGTAGTGAAAGGGTCCTATTTCTTGGACAATCGGTTTCGATCCTGATGCAATCTCATTGGGATTTGTTACATTAAAGACATAAATATTAAAATCTAGTGGCTGCGGAAGTTTCTCCCAAAAACCCCGTATTTCGCTCCCTTTCTTCAGTCTAACTTGCTGTAAATTTTATCAAATACAGACACGAACTAGACTTTCTTCTCTTAAATTAGATATGGAAGAAACTTTTAATCTGACAGATCGCTACAAAGCAATATTTTCTTCTATTAAATATATTAATAAGCATTGGTAATTATTAGCAATCTTGAAATGAAAATATACAATCTACGTAGCAAAATTTATTTAAAATTATTATCAAGGTAATTGAGTGAGGCTTATTGTCGCCAGTGGTAATTAAACACGGGGAAGTTCTTTTGAAAAATCGACCAAACTGGCATAAAAGTAATATATATTTAAGTTACTTTATATAGGTAACGATTTTTAAAAAGAACTTCCACGTGTTTTATTATCAAGGTATTTACAACTTTAAAATTAAATCCATAGTAGTTCTCAAGTATTAAAAGCACTACATATCTTTCTTGCAATTCTGTTTTCTATATGTATTTTGGACAAAACTCGCTAGATTGGGGATACTGATATATCAATCATTATTTACAGATTTCACTTGCGACTTCAGCATAGAAGGAAATCCTAGGCTGTAACTGATAAGCCCGATAGAGAACGTACAGGAGCCGGCGAGTCCTAGTCTTTTCACGGACACCATATTAATCTGAGAACACATCACACAAACTGAATTAAATTCCTTGCCTTGGAGTGATTTCGACAGCAAACCTTGTATTCGTCAATAATGTGTAACACGATGTTGAGAATCTTTCCGATCGTGAAAAAGGATAACAAACGCCGCAGATTCGGATTACGCATCGCGTCGTCTATTCGGTATAAAACACGACGCGTGTTGCTTTCCAGTCTTTCGAAAATTTCTTGAAAAGCGCTCATTCGCCGCGTCGACATGTTGATTTTCGAAATAAGCAAATTCCTCGATTTGATAAAAAATCTGGATTCCTAAAATCGACAAAATCAACGAAATCTTTAGGGTCAATAAGCTCCTAAGTTTACAGAGTTAACGGATTTCTCAATATTTTTTGGAAAATCATAATATTTAATTCTAATAGAATTCTGATGCTTAAAAAAATCTTCGATTTTCGTAACAAGTACAAAGCTTTTGATCTCCAAAATGATCAAGATGCTGTTTTCAGAATAGACAAGTCTCTCACGCGATTTTAAACTTTTGGATTTTGTGCTCCCTTTTTTTCTTAAACTTTGTCCTCGCGAGGCTCCTGTAGCACACCTGGGGAAATTTTTCTTCGAAAAAGTTGTCGATGTGCGAATATCCACTCCCGTCGTTGTCTTGAGCTCCAACCTCGGGCGTCTTCTTGTTATCGGTCCACCTTAGCAATTCTCATCGGCAAACTAGCCGCACCCCCTGGGTTGCTCTCATATTCACACGTTCTCACATATACATACATATCTTTGTTTGCCCATTGACTGTGATTCAACGACGATTGGTATATTGCGACTGCGCGATCAGCAGCTTTTGACTAGGTTTATCGAACTGCGACGAAAATAACTTTTCAATAGAACTCTTTGAAAAAGTTTTTTTTGTATAACATTTATATATTTGCCGGCTAAGAACACGAATAAAATAATTATTTATAAGAAATTAGATATACGAAATATATTACCTTATTTTTTTCAAGATAGTGAATGGACAGCTAGTAGTAGCAATAGTATAAGATTTAAAAGATTTTCTTTATGAAACTGTATTAAACTTTAAAAATCTAAATTTTTAGTATTATACAATATTTATTATTAATATATTTTTATATAAATTGGAAAATAGAAACTCAATTTCTGAAAATCTTTCTACGTACCAAATTCAAAACAACGTCAATTTAATTTTTTTACATTCATAAATTATTAACCAAAACTGTCTGTTTCTTCAAATCTTTCTCCCATCAAAATTTTTATATAGAATTAATTGTCAATATAATTTAATATTTAAAAAATACATCTGACAAGAGTAAAGTCCTTTTAATTTGAGTTATGTCATTTCTATATATTATTAAAAATTAATTGTATCGTTCTCAAACAGTTACAATTATACTTGTTACTTTTTGGATTACTGGAAATTTTCTTTGACGATCAGTTCCAGTTTTAATTAATAACTTACAATTTGATTTAATTAACAAAATCTTTATCATATCAGAATTGTAAAGAAATTAATAAATGATGTCAGAGCAAATAAAATCGATGCAAATAGTCCTAAATAAAATTTAGCTAATTAACTACAGTTTATACATGTATTTTGCACATTTCATACGATATTACACTTTATACAATTTATGCATTTTAGTGAAGTGATACAGAAATAAATAATTAAAAAATGTGTAATTTATTTTATTTATCATTCGAGAGACTAAGATAAATTTAAAATATATTTAAGAAGTTATTATAAATTATTATTATTAAAAAATTGAAAAGTACCAGCATGATAACACCAACACACAAGACGAAAAGTATTTCATTCTTTAAAGCATAATCTGTTTTGTATGTTGTTTCGAGTGGGTACTCAGAGTTCGTTTTCTTCGATCGCGATGGCGATGTTTAAGGCGACTTTAAGTCAGTGTTATGGATCCGCGCCTTTGGTGTCAAGTGTAACGCCTATCGAACGCAAAAGGCGCCGAGGAATTAATTAAATATGAACTTGCTATAGATACCCTATAGCACTTGCTACGAGCAACTTCTATGCATTATTGCTCACGTCTATCGTAGATGTAGTTATCGTAACCGAGGTCTCATTAAAATAAATTACTATATATAAAAGAAAACCCCATCTACGTAAGACAAGAATCTAAAGATACGCCACTACCTCTGAAGAAGCTGTGATCAAAGTTTGGAGTGTGGTCCTCCAAAAATGCATAATTGCGTCGATCGCTGAAAACAATGTACTCGCCATCGTACGATACAACATTGCGAGGAAATTTTGACAAATAACTTCTATTTCATATAACATTTAACATTCAGAACAACATACTTCAACGGTACACGTAGAGAAAGAAAAGAAAGCCACTGCGATTTTGATGCAAATTAATATTTTCCTGTACAATGGTAAAATTTAACAGCATGCTTTTATGCATATTATTACTAGAGTCATCGTAAGAAGAAGAAATTAGAACTGCCCGCGAGAAGAACAAAATTCAACGCTTGGTCAATCTTTGTCTATTTTTAATAATTAACTTAAGAAAAGTACGACGCAGTTATAAGATAGTTATAAAATTGTATTTTCACATTCTGCCCCGCCACTCAGAATTATATTTCTGTTTTCAGTTTTCGAGTCATCAATACATCGAATGACGTATTGAATCCAGAAATTAAATAGAGAAATCCATCCTCTCAACACTGTGAATCACGTCATGTAAGTAAACAAATTGCGAAGAATTAAAATACACTCAATACACTGCGAAATTCGGACTGCAGCAAATGCTTCTTCGTGCAACTACGAATGTCACATTTTTCACGTGGGGAAACTGAGCGCCGACGTACAATCGCGACGTAGAGCCCCTCTTCGCAGAGACAGAGCACTCCGTACCGAGAGAAAATCCGTGTAGCTCGCTAAACGGACACTGAGAGCTATGATGGCAGAAAGATAGCGGTTTATCGTAACGGGGTTACGGGTTTTTTTTTACAGGAGCATAGTGATTTGACAGATGACATGAGCCTTTTCTCAGATGACATAGGGCGAGAACGTCCACGTGTTTTCTCGTTTCATGTACGGAATAATCAATGCGAATGATAGTCGATAAGCAGGAAGCCATCGCGTCTGTTCACACGTTCGCTATCGAGATCACGTATAGCAATCCTTTCAGCTAACGCTGCCTGTTTATTTTCCTTGCAATGTATTGTAATCCTTGTAATCTGTTGCTGAACAACTAATATGTGATAACAGTATAATGTTCTTTCCCGTGAAATCTGTTGCTAAACAACTAACACGTAATAACAATATAAAATGATACCCATTCGTTTCCCTAGCGTTACAAGAAAACTTGATTATTGATTCTTTTATCTTTACTCACATTTGACGTCAATTAGAATTAATCAATATGATAAGTAAAGGTAGAAATAATATTATCATTGAGGAAAGTATATAAATTAGTGTCTTTTAACGGATCTACTCGTCTACATCAAAAAGTCAATCGTAATCGATCGGGAATAGTTGGAAATTCGTGGATTCTTCGGGAATTAAAAATGTAATTCCCGGACTTATAGACGAAAGTAGAATTATACACGCTTCTTCACACGAGCGGTGGTAGCGCACGACGCCTCGTCTGGCAATTCGCTCGTCAACAATGCATGAGAGAGTTGCTACGTGGAAAACGCGACCTTTCCCTGTCGCACCTCCATCGGTATACTTTTCCGATCGTAGGAGGTAGGGGCGACATTTTCCGCACCGTGTATCGCTCGATGGATGCGCAAGAACAGGCAAGACTATGATACGCAGAGGACACGCGATGGCATTTCATTGGACGTTAAAACCCTCCCTCCAACGTGATAACAAAGTTGCCAGACAACGCGATATGCCAAACCTTTCGCCATTATGCTTTTCGCATTTTTTGGGGAGGCATTTTCCTACATTTTTCACCATTTTTTTACTGACCTGAAAGTTACTATTATTCAGAAACGTGAAGAATTATTTAACGCCAGTAATTGATTAACCAATGTAGAAAAATTGCTTGACGACGCTTGGTCAGCCAGGGTGAGGTAATATTTTTCGCAATGGATTTCTTTAATTAGAATTTGCCAGCCAAGCGTCGTCAAGCAATTTTTATTATTCAGAAAATTACGCACCGATAATTACTGGCATATCACGACTTGTCGCTCTTTCGATTTTGATAAGCCCTGTAAAGTAAAATATGCACCCTCTGGTATCGTGTAAATAAATTATTCTCACCTTGTAACTACCTTTAACACCTTTGATACACGACGTTATTACTTCATTAATCATAAAGATCCTTACTAATGGAACAAGTTCACGCCATTCACGTGGTGACAGCAGTATTATTCCTCAAGGTTGGTCGGAAGCATAGATTTTGATAAAACAATATTTGTTTAACTTCTCTATTTTTACATAAAATTTGTATCGACGAGCAATGAAAATAGATAGAACACCACCAACGAGGTGTATGCATAGGCTCGAGAAGTATAAATGAAATATTGTTTATTAAAAAAGAAGACAGGCACATACAAGAATTCACTGACGCGATAATCAATTTTTAACGTACCTACATTTCAGTCAGGCTTAATTATGGGCAATAATTAATGAATTATCAATAACACATCTGTAACAAAAATAAGGCTCTCGTACATAATATTATAGAGATTATGTGGACACGTTAAACCATGATGTTATTAGCAAAAATATATCATCGCTGTATTAAAATGGAGCTCGATGAGCGCGTTACCAGCCGTAATGCGACTTGTAATGCGCGTGTATGGCGACCGGCACTGGGTACGGCTTCGGCACGTGCACCGGCACAGCCACGTGCACCGGGTACGGCCGGTCTACGTGCACGATCTTCTCGAAAGCGACGGGATACGGTCTCGGTACCGGCACCGGGACATGCACCGGCCGATCGACCGGGACGTGTACCGGTTTCTCGACTGGCACCGGGACCGGCCGGTCCACGTGAACGATCTTCTCCACGGTGACGGGATACGGTTGGGGCACCGGCACCGCCACCGGGACAGCGCGGTCAATGTGAACCGGTACGGGTACAGCGACCGGCACGTGCTTTGTGACCGTCACGGGTATCGCGACCGGTTGCGGCACCGGATGCGGCACCGGATGAGGCACCGGCTGCGGAACGGGCACAGGCACCGCCGCTGTAAAAAAGTACACCCTTCAATACGATACATAAATAATTGAAATAATTTTGATCTAATGTTACGAATAAAATCCGAAGCTACTGCTAAATCACATTTCTCTGCTTTGTACAACGCTAAAAACAAGGCAATTCATGAACGTTTTCTTCTAATTAAAACTACGTTTGAATGTTATTGTGGAATTAAGTTAATTGTGACGAATGCTTTAATCGCAAACCAAATTTAAAATCAATAAAAATGAAGAAAGTTAAAATTGTTAGCTCGGAATGAGAGTGTACTCACCGACTGGATGTCCAACGACGGGGGGTGACGGTTCCGGTAGCGGATGTCCAACGTGCGGATGTCCAAGGTCTGGTGCCGGAACCTCATAAACTGGCGGCGGTGGCGCTGATGGTGGACCGTATATGTGTTCTTGATATTCTTGCAGACCGTATCCTAAACCGTCCAGACCTCTTTTCCCGTGTTTCTTCGCTTTTATAAAAACGCTGTACCGTTGCCCTGAATTCGCGTCAACGATAATGGCTGCACTGCTGGCCAACACCAACGTTATTACCTGTAACAATGTAACGACGAGATGTCAAGCCGAGTGATTTACATCCTCGCAGAATATTCTCGGGTGATTCACTTCAGATAAATTTATTATAAAATGTATGTCGATTAAATTTAGATTTCATTATTTTGTAACAAATGTATTATAAAATATAATAAATTTACAAAATAATGAAATGAATCTAAATTTAATCGACAATGCTAGACTGTATGAAATTTTTTCCGAATGTAATGACGCTTTTGGAGAATGGAAATCTGATTATACATCCAATTACAAGTTTTAAAAAGGACTTGACGCTCATAATTTCACTTCAATTGCTATTTTATATATTAGATTACAATTGCATTAGATCGTTTTAAGTCGCACGGGATATTGTAAATGCATAATCATCCATTGCAATTCACAAACGATGCACAAGTCACTGAATCAAACGTGTAGCGTTCTCTATCTCTCGCCGCGGTGCATCCGAATTGTAAAAACTGGATGCGAATTACGCGATTGATAGCGATAAGACAAAAGCGCGAATCGGAGCTGGTACCAGGAGGAGCCTCATGACCGGTCGCTCGAGGGTTCCAGTTACCGGTCGCGATGCCGACGAAAAACTGAGTTCGCTTCGGAATTGTGACCTCCATATGTATTTATAGGGTATCAACCGATCGCCCGAACGAAGAAGAGGAGCGATTTTATTAGTCGATACACTTTCGCTACTATGCGAACCTGGGCGACGGCCAAATGGCGGCCACTTTTCTCTCCCAGGAGGTCGAACGAAGGCAAACTAGGAAGACGCGCGGCGAAAAATCCTGGAGCGTGCATTAGCGATGCAGCTAGGTTTATCGACGAGCAATATGGTCTACCGATCGTCAGATAGCCGCGATCGCGCCTGTGATACGTGATTCGATTCAATCACCGTGTTGCACCGTGATTGGAATCGTTTCGTGCAAAATGTATCGCGTCAATAATTATATTATAAAACATGTGTTAACTTTAGATCGTTTGTAATTCGTATTATCAAATTTCAAGTAAATCTGTGTATCATATCAAGTAAATTAATTTAAATCATTACATTTTCTACATTCAACTGAAGATTTCATGAAATAGAGAATACTATTCATTAAATGAAATCATTGTTTTTGTCAAATAAGAAATCCAATTTTCTTCGCTGTAAAACTTACATCTTAGTAAACATTTTACAGAATTAAAGTAAAAATTTTTTTTATTTTAAATTATCTACTGTTTGATATTTAATAAATACTTAAATTAAAGAAATGCATGTTTTAATTTGCTGATAATTTTTTAAATTTAAGTTGATAAGCTATTTAGGAGCCACCTAATGAATCATTTTCTTGAGTTAAGTAATATCTTTTTGGATTAAGACATTTTTTTATCAGTGTAGTCGAGACATTATCGTAAAAATATTTGTCTTGCGGGACTTTTCCGTAGTGGTGGCAAAACAAAGGTTACAGTTCTATAAGAGAGAATTCTCAGGCTGCAGTAGCAGTTCATCACAGTTCCTCGTCAGCTCCTTTATTCGGTCAACGAGATCGAGACAGGCGCGTTTTCCTCCTTGCTTCCGCGTTAACCGCGTGAACTTTCCTAACTTTCATTTTCTAAGTGCCTAATGCCGCCGCGTTCCTAACGCCATGCAGCCACGTTACCTGCCATTCATTATTCATCGGTGAGTTCAAGCAAATGCGTAACAACCCCAATGACGTTGACCAAGGTTCGCCAGCCACGTATCGCGAATTGGCGGAATGCACACGTACATGGTGGTAACGTAGTATAACTGAGAAACGGCCCCGGCAGACGTGCAATCCGAAAACCACGACGGAACAATGTTGTTACGAGGAAATGCGGAGAGCGTTTGTTACTTGAGCTCTTCTCTCGGTCTCTTTATGCATTTCTAAAACTCTTAATTCGTTTCCGCCTCCGTCTTCTACTCTTGCTTATAAATATATTTTATTATATTTAAGCGTATAAAAAAACTACCCGTCAATATGTAGATAAAATTTTTAAGAAGTTACACTTTAATCATGGTTTGCTAAAAATATTTTGCTGCTATAACTATAATATAAATTTCTAAATCGCGGCAAACGGTTTGCTTTAGCACCTAATACAATAGGCACAGTAGCAAAATATTTAGCTATCACAACGAAATAATATCTGTCCATATTTTACAACTGAAATGTAGGTGCCACGTGTAGTTTTTTAGCTACGGCAGCTACACTTTTCTTTCCGTGTAATATAGAGGCGACACGTTGTTACCTCGGAATTAGCTAAACCAGAGTACGACTGAGAATTAGCTGCTGTAGTCTTACATTATCAGCATTCATCCATCGCTTATACAGGCAGCATTAAACAGCGCGCGAAATTCTTCGGCGTTTTCCTTTTCACCGTACGTGCGCGGAAGTGCGTTTCCAGGCATAATTAAACAGGTATAGGGATGTAGGTAAGTGGTACGGGTTCTATGATCGTCGAATGTAATTACAGTGCGAACATTGTGGGCACGAGCTCGTAATCAAATGGCAAACTGGTGTCGTTCTTGGCAGAAGACACGCGTGCGCTTCTATTAATATATATTAAATAATATTCAACATTATTTAACATTAATTTGTTGCTTCGCATATTAATTAAGCATCCGATGTCGCATAAATCTGCATAAATTAAATAATTAATAATTTAATCGATTGATATTAATTACTTAATTAATCTATCGAATATTTTAATTAAATATTCATCATTTTTCAACGACGTTCTTTGTAATGTGTCATATGCTTATTATCTTATTTGCTACGGGATTTTACCTGTCTAATGTTATCTTGAAATGTCGTTGCAAACTGGATTCATCAGCGGGCAACTTTCATCACCGGAAGCTCGGGGGATATTGATCGACAAGGGTGAGTTTCCGATGTGATCGTAAATGGGAACTTGTCCTGTTCCTCGATCCGGATCAAGTCGTCACTGGTACGAATCACAAATATAAAAGACCTCCGTTGTTACGATCTTACGAACAGTTCGTCCGCGACGAGAGAGAGCGATGTCGAAGATCTCTGTAAGTAACCGCATTTTCTCATCTACCTGTAAGTACGAAGCGGTGCATTAAGCGGCGTAAGTTGAGATGAAAGCTTTATAAATATAGAATATCTGGAGCACATCTCTCCGAAACCACCATTCATCATTTTCTAAAATTTTAGAACAAAGTCAACTTGCAAGTATATTAAGTTTGTTCGATCTCTCTATTATGCTTCGATGAATTAAAGTTCTTTCTCTAAGATATTAACTTACCGAAATTGACGTTTCTTTACGTTGGTGCTGTGATTCAGCTGTTCCTGATATTATTATGCACCAGCGCATTCGCGTCAGTGCCGCAAGATGCGAAGCAGCAAAAACGGAGTAACGTCGTTAACGACGCGTGGGTCGGTCTACCGAGTTACGGATATGGACAACCGTGGTCAGTCGATCACCTCTCCTTGAGAGGACTGAACCTTCCCAAAATCTCACTGCACGACGGGTAAAGATACCTATTACACTTATTATATCATTTAAGAAAGTACTAAATCAATTAAAAATTAATGGGCTACCTTCATCTTGCTCGGACCTAAGTAATGATCTGGCGTTCTCGTTTCCATTTGATTTATATCACAACAGGTCCTGATTTAGCTTTATTTGTAATAAATAAAGTTTATATAAAAGATTTGAACTAATTCCAAGCAAATCTCTAAATTGTATTGTACATTTTGCGGATTTTAACGTTCCATAATAATATAAAATACTAGCTGAAAAATCGCACGGACATTATGGAGCGTTAATAAATATTTTTTTGAGAATCACCTTTCACCTTGCAAATTATTGCTCTTTGCCCTGATTTTTCCCCGCTTTGATATACTTGTAAAAATTGTCATTATTCTCTAAAAAGTATAGAACAATGACAACAATCCTAAATAGCACAGGTGATCGTAATGAACTAAACAAAGAGGACGTACTTTTTAAAATTCTTTATGAATTAGCGTAATCTGTCCAAAATGAACTCCAAGAGAATTCCTTTTCTTCTGCACCCGAATAAATAATAAGAGTCTATTGAAAATTGAAATGGGATGAAACAAGAATTTGTTACATAACCCGGGAACTCAAACAGAAATTTCTTTCTCTGTGCTATCTGGAAGTATAATATTATCTTCACATTTCATGTCGATCGGCAGACTGGACCTGGCGGATGCGACTTATGGTAGAGGTGGCATCGCCTTGACACCTGGACTTCTAAAAACCCTGCCGGTGTCCATAACAAAGCACGTGGTGGTGGAGAGGCCGGTGCCAGTCCCGGAGCCGGTGATCATAGAGAAACCGTATCACGTGCCGGTACCGATCGAGAAAATCGTTCACAAATCGGTCCCCGTCCCAATACCTCAGGTAGCGTCTCGCCAATGTTACTTCCGTTGACGCGCGAAGTCTATTAACGATGATCGCTCTTCCTTTCGTAGCAAGTTTATAGAAAGCAATACGGAAAAGCTCGCGGAACAACTCGCGGAAATTTCATAACATTTATATTATATTGATAAGCGAATATTGAGCTGAAGTATATGTTAGGTCCGGTTTCACCAACGTTGTTTAACCGTAAGTTTAGCTTAATTCGTTTTTTGTCTCTTTCCAACTGTTACTTTAGAAAGAGGCAAACACGAATTAAACTAAGATTAAAGTTAAGCGACGTTTGGTGAAGCCGGGACTTAAACATGTAAAGCTGTAACTTGCGTCATGAAAATCATCATCAGTCGCACTGCAACAGCTTCTTTTTCAGAGAAGCCTTTCGTCTCCAATTAAAACTGACTCTAGACTGACTGACAAACTTGAAAAACAATCGCCTCTAAATTTATCATCAGAATCACAGCCGGAATCCTAGCGTTCCTTCCATCAAACGCAGCTACTCGCAAATTTTCTAGACTTCTCTTCCTCTTTCTATCGTCTTCTATTTTTAATTTCTATCGGGACCAAGTCTCACGATTTAAATCGCAATTAACCAAGGCGTCTCTCCGACCCGCAGGTGGTGCCGATTCCCGTGAAGCAGCCGTATCCAGTACCAGTGAGGCATCCAGTGCCCGTCCCGATACCGGTACCACAGGTAGCGTCTCGCTAATTTTACTTCCGTCAGCGCGCAAAAATTCGCAGAAATTTCGTAACGTTTAGATTATACCGATAATCGAGTATAGCTAAAGAATATAAAAAATTATTTAACGCCAGTAATTGATTAACCAATGTAGAAAATTGCTTGACGACAAATGGCTGGCAAATTCTAATTGAAAAAATTCATTGCGAAAAATATTACCTCAGCCAGGGTTTAAACCTGGACGAATTCGTGAGACGCCCGCCTAGAGTGTAGGGAGGTTCCAGTCCAGGTTCAAACCCTGACTGAGGTAATAATTTTCGCAATGAATTTCTTTAATTAGAATTTGCCAGCCATGCAATTTGCAATGTTGCAATGTTCCTGAAGTGTTCCCGAAAGCTTTGGTGCTGTATGGAATACCCCGCGATTTAAATCGCAATTACTCGAGGCGTATTTCTGACACGCAGGTAGTGCCGATTCCGGTGGAGCATCCGGTGCCGATCCCGGTGAAGCAGCCGATCGCGGTGCCAGTGCAGCAGCCGTATCCGGTACCAGTGAAACAGCCGGTACCCGTGCCGATACCGGTACCAGTGCCGGTGCACTTCTTGCCACGTTCGCTTCAGCCGCTGCCCGCAGTTCCGCCACTTCCGCTGGTCCCACCGATTTCATCGCTTCCGCTGGTTCCACCGATTGCATCGCTTCCGTCGCTTCCGCTGGTCCCGTCGCTTCCGTCGCTTCCGCTGAACCCGTCCGCTGGCGGCATCTATGTGCGCATGTATGCACCCGACCACCTACACCCAGTCCACCTGCCGTCGGCCGGCCTGCTTCTCCCCGGCCATGGACATGGGCATGGGCATGGGTTTGGCCACGTGGTGGCGCACGGCTACGACCACGGCTACGACTACCACGATGCCCACGCCGACCATGTTGCTCACGCTGACCACTTTGCCCACGTCGACCATTTTCCCCACGGGCACGAGCACAAAAAGAGGAAGACCGACAAGAACTGACTCGCGGTGAAAAGAGCGGATGTCGGCGAAAATGTACATAGAAAGGGGATCGTTCGACGCCGTTCATGTATATAGTTTTAAGGGCAATTTCAATAGAATAAAAGGAGGGATTCTGATTTCCGTATTCTGCGCTTCAGATTCTTCTCGTTGGAATTGTGTTCGCGGGGGAGGGCAGACCCTTGTGGAAAAGCAATGAAATAATTGTTAGAAAATTAGTGTACATCAGTAATTGAAGTGTCAGGAATTACTGATGTACAGTAATTTTCTAGTAGTCATTTCGTTACTTTCTCGTGAGGGGGACGAGGGTTTCTTACACGTCGCGAAGTCCGAAGACTTTCTCACGCGATATTCCTATTCCCCAGCACAGGTTCTATTATCAATGTCTCTTAATTGACTGCGTTCAGTAGAAGTTAGCGCTTGCTAAGCGCTTTGCGCTCATTGGTTTATACCTTCAGATCTGTGCTGAAATAGAGCTATTCTTCTAGATCTATCCAATCAGCATAAAGCGCTTATTAAGCGCTGACTTCTGCTGAACACAGCCATTGGCTGACGTTGGTTAAATATTGATTATGTTGACAGTGCATTGGCCAATATTTTACCAATATAACACCAATATTGGTCATAAAATAGATACAAATATACTACTGATATTGTACCTTAGATGATTATTTAATATTGGATTGATTGTATTGGCCAAGATTACCCAATAAAATTGTAATATTGAATATAGAATAAATGCTAATGTAACGCCAATGTTATGTATCAATAATTGCACGGTATTACATTTATATTATTTCCCAATATTACGCCAATACTTTGTGCTACCCCCGGGCTTTACCGATCCTCTATATTATAATTCAACTGCAGATTTGATATTTTTATTTTCATTGCAGGAAAGTAACTGCAAAGTAACGATTCGTTACTTTTTCAGTAACTGTAACTGTAACGCGTTACTTTTCAGAATTAGTAACTAATTGTAACTGTAACTAGTTACATTTTTATCGAAAAAACTGTAACTGTAACTACCCAAGGAAAAATGAAAAGTCAAGATGACGTCAGTTTGATATCATATTGACCAAAATATGACACAAATCTGGTCAATATGACATCAAATTGACGTCATTTTGACTTTTCATTTTCCTTGGGTAGATACTTTTATAAAGTAACTTTCCCAACCCTGGCTTTACGTTGGATAATATCGGCTAATGCATTTCTAATGTAATTAACATTGGACCAATGTTTAGCCAATGCAGTGTGCTACTAGGGTAGATGTGTTTTTGGGCAGCCCAGACGATATAAATTTTTGAAAGGCACTGTACATATGTGGCGAAGAGAGAGAGAGAGAGAGAGAGAGAGAGAGAGAGAGAGAGAGAGAGGGAGAGAAGAAAAGCTACTTTCGCACTGGAAAGGTCCACCTCCGCCTTGACTTGTTGCAACCGAAAAAAGTAGCCTGATTTTATCTCGCAATCTGCAATCGTGACGGACGAGCGTCGTAGAGAATCGGTACGAACTGGAAGAAGCCGCGCGGGCCGTCCTCGCTTCCTCCTCCTTCCCGTCAGACAGGAAGTTCGTTTAAAACAAAATAGGCGAATATCCGGGGGCTTTATCGGTCCTCGGGCGTGTTGCGGGGGAAGGAGAAGGCAAAAGGGATCGCACAACCGGGCCGCGGCTCTTTCTTTCCTCCTTTCCTTCTTTCGCATCGATTCGCGGCGCGGAGGCCGCCTCGGCCCGTTATCGAGCCCTTTCTACTCCGGAAAGCAGAACGGCGGCGGACGGTGGATCGGCGCGGCACGGTGAGCGACGCCACCGCGGCATGGCGAACGAGATCGCTCGGTCTCTCTCTCGCACATCCGTTTCGCGGAACAGCTGATCTCCAGCGCTGTCGGGGGAGAGGAAAGCGGCAGCAGGGCACTCGCACACGCTATTCCCCGGGTCCACGAGGGTGTCGGCACGCCGGGCGTAATCGCGGCCTCCACGCGCCGCCCTGGAACGGCGGACGCGGCCATGCGTCCGAAGAGATCCGGATCCCGGAAAAATCAATGCGCGGGGGTGCAGCAACGTGACAGCGCGTCGTGAAGCGCGACCGGGTTACCTGCCCGTCGACTATGCGACCAACCGCGACAGGTGAGTACGCTGGACCGAGTCCACCTTGGGGGAGGGGGGGGGGAGAGGATCTCGGCGAGATCTCGCGCGTTTTCTCACGTCCGCCGCACGGCTGTTAACAGGACACGCCGAGATGTCGCAGGTTATGTCACGTCTGGCGTGGTTGTAAACACGCGTTACCCCGTCGCATCGATCGTGTAATGTAACGCAGCGTCGATGAGGCGGCGCGACCTGAGGACCGACAAGATGCTGAAGCTGGACGAGATCGAGGGCGAGAACGTGCCCAAGAAGGCGAGGAAGACCGCGGAGGAGAAGAAGAGCAAGGGCCACAGGAAGAGCAAGCATGCCAGTGGCAGCGGGCGGAAGCTACGGAGCAGCGTGGAGGCGGTGCCTCACAAGGTGGAGCCCCAGGAGGAGGAGACGCCGATGGATCTGCTGTACCTCGCCAAGAGCCCGTCCGGCGTGTCCTGCAAGATCGAGCCGTCCGTCTCCAACGAGGACAATTACATCCTGATGCCCCCCCTGGATACTCTGGAGGACGCGGGAGTCAGGATGGAGGATCTGTTGGAACAGAGCATGCACAAGATCTCCAAGAATCAAAAGAATGGCAGGTGGAAGCACAGTTACAACAAGATGGTGTACTTGCGCAAGTGCGCGGTCAACAGCGATCAGTCGACGCAGGACGAGACCAGCCAGAGCACGTCCTCCGAGGAGCACGAGCGTATCCCCAAGATCGAGGATATCGCCTACGACAGCTCGGCCAAGATCAAGAGGGACAAGAAGTGGGCGAAGAAGCTGAATCCCCTTTCCCTGCACTACACGGATAAGAAGAGAGCCTATCTCAAGTGTCCCGCCTGCGGCGCGACGTTCTTCAGCCCGAATACGTATCAGAGGCACCTGCTCTCTCACTTGCACACGACGGCGGAGAACAATTACATGTGCAATTTTTGTAATTACTCCAACGCCGAGCCCGGAATGTTATTTGCTCACTTGACCAAGCATCAGAACCAGTGCGAGTCCTGCAACGAGAGCTTGCTGCGCAAGGACAACTACGAGAAGCATTATCAGTGCTCGACCAGCATGCTGGAGTACGGCCTGAAGCGCGATCATCACGAGATGTTTGCCTGTGCGGCCTGCGAATTGGTGTTCGATCTCTTGGCTCAGCTGGAAAAGCACTGGTTCAAGCACACCTGCAAAAAGCAAAAGTCGTATCAGTGCAACGAATGCAGCGGCATGTACGAGAACATGGAGACCCTGAAGAATCATATATGCCTCAAGTGTCCCATCTGCGGCGAGGTCTACGAGAGTCTCCACCGATTGAAGATACATACCATGTGGACGAAGCACAATCTAAAGTGTCCGATCTGTTCTTACGAATTTATTCTCTCGATGGACCACGAGAAGCACATGGCCCTGCACAGAAAAGTTTATCAACCTATGAAAGATTACATGCATTGTTTGCGCGCGGCCGACGGCAAGACATTTCAATGCAATCTCTGTGACAAAATATTTTACGCCTTGCCCGCTCTGCTCACGCATCTCACGGAGGATCACAACGTGGGGAATGTCAAAGTGGAAGAGGAAGAGGAGGAGGAGGAGGAGGAGGAAGAAGAGATCATGGAAGACGACGCTTATGAACTAAAGGGGGACGCTATCGATATCGTTGTGGTTCCCGACTTTAAAGACTCGGACAGCTACTACGACAATGAGATCGACTCGTTGCAGCAGGAAACCGATCTCTACGATCCGTCATAAAGACAAGAGAATATCGTTCGGGCTTAAGTCGTGAAAATGGAAGCGGCAAACTTTTCCTATGAACGGTCGGTTTTAGCTTTTACTGTCGAACACCTTCTCAGTCTCGTAATAGTGATACTAAAGTTGGACTGTCAAATAAAACTGATACAGTTGTAAGTGCCGTTTATAGATGTAACTCGTGCGCTATTTTTAAAAATGTATCGTTTGCTTCAGGATTTTTATATCAATTTATACCACAGAACGTTAATTTTACACAGAACATGTTACATTCTTCTTCTGTCTGTTTTCTGTTAAGTAAAGTAGAGATGATAATTAAACACATATATTAGCGATCCGAAAGTAGACGAGGAGGAAAATAGGTACAGAGCAGATAATCGTGAAACGATCGAGCAGGTATTTTCTGATGAACTTAACGAATTCGATCGTCTGCACTACTCCGCGCTGATGTACTAAAAACCATTGTATTATACTTCAAATTATTCAAATAAAAACATGGTTCAGTGGCAGAATACTCGCCTGCCACAATTAGAATACATGTCAAAATACTTTTGCATTTGTATAATTTCACGTATAGTACATTTTTCAACGCATATTGGTGCAGGATAGTTAGTACGATCGAATTCTCTATACGCTATCATCAGAAAATTTAGGAACACATTCAGATAAACAATTGTTAATAGTCATTGTGATACCGACCCATTTTTACAGCAACTTCAAAACTAGAAGCTGTAATAATTGTGGTGCTTAATTAATTTTATGAATTTATATCTCTTTAATCGAATTCGCTGTTTGTTAGCGCGTTAAAGAAACTTTCTGCAATCTTTGATTATCGCATGTAGAGTTATTATGCGCAATAGTATAATAGCAATTAACAGATTTGTCTCGCGTATATGCGAATAAGGTTTGAGCCTGGAAAATTTTGAAAGTTGACGTTCTACTGCCATTGTTTACAGGTTCAAATGAGAATTTGTTTATTCAGTATTTGATGTGCAAAGTGCAATGTGACAAATTTAATTTAAATAATTATTTATTAGCCTTAGATATTGTATAATGTTAAAATTTTTTATTTATAATTATACGTACGTTATATCCTTTATTTTTATTTGGGAAGATGACAAATTTTCTTTCTGAACTTGTACATTTCTGTTTTGTGTTCCTAAATTTTCCAAGCGGCGCAAGTCACTCTCCGCAGACTCTAAGTACGGAATAAATACAAATTGAAATTGTAATGTAAATACATTCCGCTATCACACGTGACGCTCACTTCATGCGGATTTCCCGTTCGACAAATTGCATCGCAGATGCAATGAATTTTCTTACAGCCCGTAAAGATATATATATATACTGATCACATTATTAGGTTTAAATCTCGTCATGTACATTACGTATATGTCAAATAATGTATGTTTATGTAACATTCTTTTAATTATTCCTATATTGAAATATATTTAAAAAAAGCGATATTCCGAGCTATCAGTCCTGCTGTAGCCTGATCATGGTATCTCGCTACAATTAGCTTCGTTAATTTTAATCAACTTTGATTCGCGAAATCTCTAGGCGTTTCCTAGAGATTTAATCAACGCGCGAGAGACCGTTCTCGCGACGATCTATACAGTAACGTGAGAATCGCGGGGGCTAAACACGATGGCATTTATAAACGCATGTAAACACTCAAAAACATCTCGCAGGGTTGTATTTACGCGGGTCGTTTAAATTCATTCGTGCGTCAGGAAATATTTTGCAGCGTATGTAAATCTAATGTCGTAGGCCTATGCTATTCTAGTTTCACATCAAGAATTTCTGCTCCGTTACACGTCCTGGAAAATAAATGTCCATTAACAATATTTTCTTTCGTATGAATCATCTCTTTTACGTTATATATATATATCAAAGCAGAGCAAGTAAAATAGCAATTCTCGTAGTCATAGATCAGGATCGTTATATCTCTCATTCTCTCTGTCAATCGGCATTTGATTCGTATGCAATTTTAGAAAGAACAAATACGAAGACGCTTGAAAATCTCCATTCTATGAAAACAAGAATTAAGTCTGTTGGTAAAAGAGAGTTAAGAACCGTGACGGGGTGTCTACAATAATTTTATTATACTAATAAGCAATACTAATGAACAGACGTTTCGGTCTCTTTTTAGATCATCTTCAGTGTAAGATAAAAAGAGATCGCAACGCATGTTTCATTAAAAATTAACATTAGTGTAAACTGTGTTCCAATGGTTTAAAAAGAGAAACGTCTATTCATTAGCAGTGTTCATTGGTATGATAAAATTATTGAAAACCCCAACATCCCATCACGGTTCTTAACTCTCTTTTCCTATCAGATTTGTTTTTCTTCAGAGCCTTAAGCATTTATTATTTACAAGAATTAAGATTCGCTGGGATCGCTGAGCACACACAATTATTATACAATTACATTATATATCACGTAGACATACATATATAATCGTCGATCATTCATATAATTCTC